CCGGGATACCACGGTATCCTATAGCAGAACTGAGAAACTGTTTCAGAACTACTGAAATGAGGCACTGATTCTTAAAATAGCAAAAAGCGTTAGATAAAGGAAATCTCCAACTACAGTAGCAGGTTGACATGTGCTCTCTAATTTGAGACGTGTGCTTTTGTCTAAGAATTCATACAGTGAATCCTGCAAATATGATCCAGGGTTTGTAAGATATGCTTTTCCGTGCTCCTCAATGTTTCTGTGTTGCAGCATTCAAAGTAGTTTCTCAGTACTTTTAAGGAAGCTCCTGAGCTGAAAACAATTGGAAGTTGGAAGTGTTAGGGAAAAGTGAAATATTTCCTGCACGTTTTCCCCTGAGCATCTGCTTATGGCTGGTTTTAAACAAATCATAGGGCTTGACTTACCCTTTTGGCTGTATTTGATTAGACCATCTTCGACTCTTTCAGGTGCTTGTATCTTTGGCAGACCAACCGGGTAGGCTGAAGTTCTCCATGTTGAGTGTGCTAGGTTAGATTGTATTAACTTCCATCAAAGTGGGTCCTGTTTTTCCCTCAGAATAGGGTTGGATTATTTTTCCTTTTGCCTTTTAGTATTTCAGACGCCTGTGAGAACATACAGTTCGTCTGTTCTCTCTAGTAGCATTCTGACACTTTGTTTTATACCTGAGGGGTACCTCTTGCTGCCCCTTATGATTTTTCCTATACTTTGACAAGTTTAAAGCTTCTGAAATTGTTTGTGTGTACTCAGCTTCATAGAGCTTGGGAGCTAAATCCTTCATCTTCCATGCACCTGCCTTCTCCTTTTATCTGTGCAAGGTTTAGTCATACACCTGAGCAATACAGTGTTCTTCGCAGCTGAGCCGCATGTGCTCAGCGGTCTTTTCGGGGCGAGGAGTCGATTCCCTTCTTCTTGAAAGTAGTTCCTTTTAACTGCCAGTTTCACTAGGGGAAAAAAAGGCAAACTTGGCTATCTCCATCAGGTAATTCAAACAACAAATTGGACATGGCTGCTAGTGGATTAGTGGAGGTGATGAGAGGGAAGAAAATGGGATGTGCAGTGAGGAGGAGAGGAACAGACGCGATTAGGCTGGAAAGAGACAACTTAGAGGTCTAATGGCAAATAAATAATGTCTGTGGAACCGGAGTGGAACTGTTCAAATACAAGTATGTTTCTCCTTGTACATAATACATCTGCTATGGAAAAATTCCCATCTTGTGGTTAGTTTGTAGCAGCTTCTGCTGCTGTTGCTTCATTACTGCAAGTTATGGAGGACTCTGCTTTGAAGTCAAAGAATCCAAATGTGGGAGTATTGCTGTATCTAGCAAGTTTCAGCCTTAACCCTGATTACTTTTTTAACATAAGCTGATTTTAATACAATTATTTTTGTAAGCTATAGTACTCTGCAGTTAAGGAAGATAGAAAGCAATAATATTTTGCATAACCTTAAGTCATTTTCTACCTCTGAGTGCCTGATACAAAAAAAATATATATGTAAGGAGGAATAGCTTTTGGTTGTAATTTGTATTACTCTGAGCTGTTCCCATTTCAGTCTTCTGGAATATAAGGCTGCTAACTGTTTTCACAAGTTTCTTTTGACTTGAGAACACTAAACAGGCCAAAACTTTGACATCTTTCTCTAGGAAATTTTCAGTTGTTTGTCTGCAGGTTTAGCATTTATAGTGAGCAGGTCCCATGATGCCACATTCCCTGTAATTACCTTTGGGTTTTTGGTTAACCATGTCTTGGTTAAGCATATCGATAGGTGCTTATTACAAGTAGGCTGGCTAGCAGTTTCCCTTCCTTGCTGCACCCAAAGGTCATTGCTATTCCTGGACTTGAAACAAGGTAAAAACTTTGCTAGTAAGACTTAGTGGAGGAATTTTCTTTTTCTCCTCTTAGTAGTAGAATTTTACGGCTTTATTGCTTCACTTGTCAGTATTATGGAAAATAATAGTCTTCGGAGCAAGGTGAACTTAACACTGTAACTAGACAAGCAGATTTGATGCCATTACTCTGTATTTTCGAAACCTTTTGAAGAAAGGAGTCAGTCACTGTTTTCTTCTGAGCCTATTGAGATTATGATGTAAAATTTGGTGTGCATAGGCCAGAAAAAATGGAGGTGTGTGAGATTCTGTGGTCTGGATTTTCAGTAGACAACTGTGATCTCTGTGAACATGAACCTCCTCAGAAAAAACTGGATGTCCAGGCAACTGAGATCTCTATTCTCCTGGTTCACTTATATTAAGGGAAGATGAATTGCTGGCTTTTTGCTGGTGATTTTGCACCTCTTTTGACATGTTGAATGCATTGTCAACCAACCACAGCTTTTTGGTGTCTTCATTTTTAAGTGATCCATATATTTACAGCCTAGTCATTCAGGTACTGTGGGATGTGTCCTATGGCCACTTACAGATGGAAACACCTGAAAACTACATCCACTACATGGAATAAAAAACAACACACCAAAACCAAAGATGTGCAAGCGAGTTCAAGATGGCTTGCTACCCTAACAGAAAGAATCTGCATGGAATGCTTTTCAGCCTTACCACACAATCTTGTAATTGCTAGCTATTGGCTTTTGTGGAAATTGATTGCCACTGAGTATGTTTTTGTTCGCATACCCCAGGATGGATTCCTCATGCCCAAGTGGCTTCAAATGTTATGGGGAGGAAAAAATTGTGCATCTGAAGGTCTTGAGAATATACCTTAGTGTAGTCTCTTGGATTCAGACTGTAAAAGCAGTGGGATCACAGGAGAATAAAGCATAGAGGGAAAGATGCTTGAGAAGAAAATGCCTCAGTTCCCATATTAGTGGAGACTTGGGTGGTTGCCAGAATGAGCTCCTGGGGTGTAACACTTGAGAGTTTATTGTATGTATAGCTGTAAAGCGTATCTACCAGAGTTGATATATTTTAATGTTGATTACTTGCTAGATGTATTTGTTTCTGCTTTTTAAAAGGGTAATTTAAAACTAATAGACACACAAACCCAGCTCAATAGACTATTAATCAGGTTAGCGGTAGTCAACTGTTACATATAAAGGCATAAAAAAAAATTCCTGACTTTATGCTACGCTGCTGGAAACAGCAACCTGCTTTATCCCTTAGTAGTAATTAACAATTTTATGTTTAGCCTTAACTAAACAATAAATGCTGATTAAAACTGTTCTACCAAGCTGGGAATGATTTAATGTGATATAATCATCCTTTTGTTCATCATTGTTGCTAGCTTCCACATGACTGCAGTGAGTGCTAGTTTCATCAGCAGAAAGTAATGTGTAATGCTTATGTCTGGGATCCCACAAGTGAATTCATAACTTCATTTTTACAAATGCGCTTTAAGCATTGCCGACATGGTGATTCTTTTGTAGTGATATAGATGTTCCACCTACATGTTGAAAAACTCTCTAAAACTATGTTTAATAGAGCTGTGTACCCTCTGGGAATGTTTTGTTAATATCAAAGGATCCTAGGAAACTAAAACCTTTGGTTGTAAGGATCCAAGTTGAGATGCGTTCGTGTCTAACCTTGTTGCCTTTGACTATTTCTAGGTTTTTAGATAGCTGAATAAATATTTGAGTTAACTGAAAATGTGAACATTTAGATCAGATGCTAACAATGATTCTGTACTAAATGAGGTCTCTGCCGTGTTCCTTATTTAATGTAGAAAAAATGTTGGGGAAATTAGTACAGTGGAGAATTCTTCGGAGTAGGACGAATCTTGACTGCAAATAAAATAAACATTACAACAAGAAAATACGTCAAATAAGGCCCTTCTTGGTGCACCTCATTATGCATATGCATTGTTGCATTCACAAAGGTGTGCAGTCACCTACACTCCCCAGTTTCTGTAGGTGAACCTACACTGTATTTCTGTGAGTGCCAAAGGGGTGTAGCATAAGTGATCAGCATTTCCCTGCTGCCCTCCTCAGGGAGTTGTTTTCCTGTTTAATCATAGAATGGTTTGGGTTGGAGGAGACCTCAAAGATCATCTAGTTCCAGCACCCCTGCCATGCGTAGGCACACCTTCCACTGAGGTTGCTCAAAGAGTCTCATCCAGCCTGGCCTTGAACACTTCCAGGGATGGGGCATCCACAGCTTCTCTGGGAAACCTATTCCAGTGCCTCATGACCCTTAGAGGGAAGAATTTCTTCCTTAGATCTAATCTGAATTTACCCTCTTTCAGTTTAAAGTCATTACCCCGGTCCTGTCACTACACACACTTGTAAAAAGTCCCTTTCTAGCTTTCTTATAGGTTCCCTTTTGGTACTGGGAGGCTGCTAGAAGGTCTCCCTGGAGCGTTCTGATCTCCAGGCTGAACAAGCCCAACTGTTTCAGCCTGTCTTCGTAGAAGAGGTTCTCCAGCCCTCAGATCATCTTTGTGGCCCTCCTCTAGACCCATTCCAATAGCTCCATGCCTTCTTCAGTTGGGAGCCCCAGAGCTGAATGCAGTACTGCAGATGGGGTCTCAACGACAGCAGAGCAGAGGGGTAGAATCACCTCCCTCAACCTGCTGACCACACCCATCAAACAAGAGAGGAGTTTAAAGACCATAAAGGTAGTGAGGACTAGACTGTCACTTCAGTCATCTGGTATCAGTCAACACTTCAACCTTTAGACTGAGGTTTCTGTTCCTAGTCTTTTAATTGCTTTTAAAGGTTCGTGCACTGACCCTGTCCCTTTGCTCCCCACAGTTGTCCTTTGACTTCAGGATTAGGCTTATGTTGTTATTGCCTGGAATATGAGGTGTGTTACTACACAGATGATTGAGTATGTCTTACTAATCAGGATGTGTTTAATGCAACTTAAACTGTTTGTTTTCACGTGGTCTTGAATCAAGGTCTCATTTTCATCATCTTCTACTGCAAATTGCTCTAGATATGAGGCATCCCAGTTTGTTGGGCAGGTGGCTAAAATCTTCTTAGCTCTGAATATTATGAAGGATGGGTCCTACAGCCAGTGATTTTTAAATTGGTATATATCAATGATGTGAGCAGGTCAGAGAGTCAAATTGAAGTGTCTTGGGGAAACAATGTTATTAAATTTAGAAATTGCTTAAAATTCAGTGTGTTGCAGTTTTTCCTCTTACAGAAATGTTAAAAGAAACCAAATCAGACAAGGGCCAATGAAGTACTCTCCTTATTAATTTAGTTATGCAATATTGTAAGCACGCCCATGTTAACAGAACACTTCAGTTACTGAAAGAAGGTTGTCAAAGATTAAAAATTAGAAATACTTTCTGAAGTCCAGTTTTTCAGCTAAGAGATGCCGTTTCAGAAGAATGAGTTTAACTTCTGTGTGATGAAAATGTCTTAATTTACACGCTTTGCCATCTATATGACCCTAAGACTTGCTCAGTATTGTTTGTAGGTTTTTGTTGCATGTCTTCATTCCTGTGCATATTGTATATTTTTCACATTATATCTAAGCATCTGATGCAAGTGTTTGTGCAAGGAGATTACAATGACATTGTCTTGACTTAGTTATATTAAAAAGACTAGATGTTAATAATTTCACTTTTTTTTTTTTACTTCCTACAACTTGGTTGTCTGTTATGTTCCATTTCTAAAGACTATAATCTATCTGGCTAGGTGAATAAGTGCATTGCTGAAAAAGTAGATAGTACCAAGATTCCTGACTTGTGAGCTATATTTAACAGTCATTTGCAATTATTTATAGGTGCTGTTGGTAAGCAGTAGCCGATACCCAGATCAGTGGATTGTGCCGGGTGGAGGAATGGAACCAGAGGAAGAGCCAGGGGGAGCAGCTGTTCGAGAAGTGTATGAAGAGGTAAGAAAAAAAAAAAAGAATCCAGCTTCTTTCTCCTGCTACTGTCTTCAGGGTGGAATCAAGAAGAAAGAGGGAACTCTACCTCCTTTATCCAGAATTTGACTGAGACTTGCATGGTTGTGAAATTCAAAAGATTCCAGTTCTGTATGTTTAGAATTGGGGTATAGTGTGGTGAGGTGAACTAATTAGCTTGCTTCTCAGCATGCTTTCATTTCGTAGCTAAATTTCTGTCTGTCTTTATAAACTCTTGCTGGAAGTGGAAGTGTGACTTTACGCCAAATGACATATTGTAGCAGTGTAGTATTTCTGTGTTAGTGCAGAAAACATTTGACTTGCAGCTCCCCTGGAACAAACTGAAAGTGAATGAACCATTAATATGTAGCTACATAAGAAAGAGAAATAAACAGACTTTTGAAGAGATTCCAGACTAATTGAATTAGAAACTGATGTATCTAAGCAGTTGAGAATTCAACAATAAAAAGACCCCATGAAGTACATTTAAGGCTGTTTATAAAGAAAGCACCATAGGTATAGGCAGCCTTTCTGTCTCTGCCCCTAGCCCTAGCCAAAACAGTTTTAAGTCTTGATGAATTAATGCAGTTTCTCACTCTAGTGAGAAAATGGTAGTTAAATTTAAAATTCAAAATTCTATTTTTTAACTTGAAATTTAATTTTTCCTAGACAAACTGTTAAAAATGTTAAATGTTACTTGAATATTTAACAGCCAGCACTGTAATCCAAATAAAACTTCCAAGAAAGACTGCGTTCACTTTATTTAGCTAGAAATTATGCAATGTGTGACTACAGACTCTTAATTCTTCATATTATACTTCTTAAATAGAAGGTGTAAGATTTTGCAGAAAGTGGATGCATGCTGGCAAGTGAGTGAACTACAGAATTTCTGGTAGTCTTAAACAGCTTCCTGATCACAGTTTGACTACTACTGTTGACAAAACACACTAATGTTGTTGCTAATTAGTATGTACAATGATTTTTTTATTAGCTGTGCTACCTAGTGGTTTAGCTTGCTTACCCTTAAGACTGGTTCTGCTGAGTTTTACGGCTTGGGAACTTGATGTAGATGCAACTTGCCACAAAAGCAGCTTGCTCTTTGGTGCCAAAATGAGATCTTCTCGTGAACTGTGATTCAGTGACCCTCCTCCCATCTTATATGGGAAACAGACTAGTTCAGTATTCAGTGCTCTTACCAGCCCTTATGCAACAAGATTCAAGCAGAAATAAGCCTCACTGACAGAAAGTTATTTCAGACTGTCTGTATTCAGTTTTGCTGGGGAAGCTAATTTCAAGTGGTGCAAGACACACTTGGGTAAGTGCTTGTGTATTTATTAAAAGTAAAGGAGACAGCCACAAGGCAGTCTAATGCCATTTGAGAGGAGGGAAGATTTAGGATTCTGGGAATTAAAGGCAGTAGTAGCACCTCTGGGGAAAGTCCTGGCACTTCCCATTGCCACAAATTGATGGGTAGGATTAAAAAGCACAGGACCACTGGCTCAGAATTCTCAACACTGATAGTTTTAATTGCTGATCTGACCTAAGGCACAGTTGAAGATGAGGGATAGTAAAATCTAATCTCCATGTCAAACTAGAGCTGACTGAACTGTAGTCATGTGTTTTGGTTTTTCTCTGGTGGTGAAGACTGGACCGTCTCAAAGGGACCTGTCTGCAGCTAGTGTGTCATCACAGAATCATTTAGGTTGGAAAAGCCTTTTAAGATTGTAGAGTCCAACCGTTAACCTAACACTGCCAAATCCCACTAAACCATAGAATCATCTGGTTGGAAGAGACCTTCAAGCTCATCGAGTCCAACCATTCACCCTGCACTGTCAGGGTCCCTAAACCATGTTGCTCAACACCAAATCTACACGGTTTTTAAACACCTCCAGGGATGGGGACTCCACCACCTCCCTGGGCAGCCTGTTCCAATACTTCACAACCCTCTCTGTAAAGAAATTCTTCCTGATATCTAACGTAAATTTCCCTTGGTGCAACTTGAGGCCATTACCTCTCGTCCTGTCATTCATAGCGTGGGAGAAGAGACCAACCCCCATCTCCCTACAACTTCCTTTCAGGTAATTGTAGAGAGCGATAAGGTCCCCCTGAGCCTCCTCTTCTCCAGACTAAACAGTCCCAGCTCCCTCAGCTGCTCCTCATAGGACAAGTTCTCTAAACTCTTCACTAGTTTCGTTGCCCTTCTCTGAACCCGCTCCAGCACCTCAATGTCCTGCTTGAAGTGAGGGGCCCAAAACTGGACACAATACTCAAGGTGTGGCCTCGCCAGTGCTGAGTATAGGAGGACAATCACTTCCCTGCTCCTGCTGGCCACACTGTTTCTGATACATGCCAGGATTCCGTTGGCTTTCTTGGCTGCTTGGGCGCACTGCTGTCTCATTTTCAATGGGCTGTCGACCAGCCCCCCCAGGTCCTTCTCTGCTGTGCAGCTTTCCAGCCACACTTCCCCAAGCCTGTAACGCAGCAGGGGGTTGTTGTGGCCCAAGTGCAGGACCCAGCACTTGGTCTTGTTGAATTTCATACAGTTGGCCTCGGCCCATCGATCCAGTCTGTCCAGGTCCCTCTGTAGAGCCTCCCAACCCTCAGGCAGATCAACACTACCTCCCAATTTAGTGTCATCTGCAAACTTGCTGAGGGTACACTTGATCCCCTCATCCAGATCATTGATAAAGATGTTAAAGAGAACAAGCCCCAACACTGAGCCCTGTGGAACACCACTGGTGACCAGCCGCCAGCTAGATTTAATTCCATTCACCACCACTCCCTGGGCCCTGCCTTCCAGCCAGTTTTTGATCCAGCGAAGCGTGCACCCGTCCAAGCCGTAGGCAGCCAGCTTCTGCAGAAGAGTGTTATGGGAAACAGTGTTAAAGGCTTCGCTAAAATTGAGGTAAACAACATCTACAGTTCTTCCCTCATCCACTAAACGGGTCATTTTATCATAGAAGAAGATCAGGTTGGTCAAACAAGACTTGCCCTTCATAAATCCATGTTGACTGGGCCTCATCATCTGACTGTCCTGTATATGACGCATGATAACACTAAGGATGATCTGTTCCATGAGTTTACCTGGCACTGAGGTCAGACTGACAGGCCTGTAGTTCCCTGGGTCTTCCCTCTTACCTTTCTTGTAGATCGGCGTCACGTTTGCCAGCCTCCAGTCAGCTGGTACCTCCCGTTAGCCAGGATTACTGGTAAATGATGGAAAGTGGCTTGGTGAGCACTTCCGCCAGCTCCTTCAGAACTCTTGGGTGGATCTCATCCAGCCCCATAGACTTCTGCACATTTAAGCTGTGCAGCAGTTCGCTTACCATTTCCTCTTGAAAGAAACCTTGATAATGCTCTCCATCTCCACCATTTGGTTCTAGAGGCATATCACCCACTGAGTTAGTCTGACCATTACAGACTGAAGCAAAGAAGGCATTGAGTACCTCAGCCTTTTCTTCATCCCCAGTCACTATTTTTCCCCTTGCATTTAGCAAGGGGGGGGAGATTCTCCCTAATGCTCCTTTTATTGTTAAGGTATTTGTAGAAACTTTTCTTATTGTCTTTTGTTAGCTGCCAGATTAAGCTCCAGCTGGGCTTTTGCCTTTCTAATTTTCTCCTTGCATTGTCTCATAGAATCCTTGTAGTTTTCGTGAGTGAATAGCCCCTTCTTCCATAGGTCATAGTCTTTCTTTTTCTTCTTGAGCTCTAGCCAGAGCTCTCTGTTCAGCCAGGCTGGTCTTCTGCCCTTCCGGCTCGTCTTGCGGTTCACTGGCACAGCCTGCTCCTGGGCTCTGAAGATTTCCCTATGTCATGTCTCTAAGCGCCACGTCTACATATCTTTTAAGTATCTCCAGGGATGGTGACTCAACCACTTCCCTGGACAGCCTGTTCCAAGGCTTGATAACCTTTTCAATGAATAATTTTTTCCTAATATCAAATCTAAACTTTCCCTGGTGCAACTTGAGACCATTTCCTCTTGTCCTATCACTTGCTGCTTAGGAAAAAGAGACCGACAGCCACAAAGTTGCTGTGGGGGTTTGACCAACTATTGAAAGCTGCCTGAGTGGTAGCTTCTCAGCTTGCAAGGAATGCAGTACTACACATAAAGCTCTCAGGCTGACTTTGTAGAAAAGTAGTAATACCGGTGAGAGTTGTGGCCTGGGGGCTGATAAGTAGTTTTCTGCTACACATGGTTCTGCACTGAGAATATTCTGAGGAACACTTCTGAGTCCTGGCTTTGCTGGAGATCTGCTCACAAATTTCTGCAGTGGTGCAGTGTATGGAGCATGAGTGTTGAGAAAGGTTAAGCTGGGATAGCTAAAGAACAGCTGTAGAATATTACTGGATGATACATCATATAGTATAACCTTAGTACAAATTTCTCTGTTAATGTAAAAGCCCAGTCAGAGTGTGCACACTACCCAGACACAGCAAACTTATCTGGTTTATACAGATACTAGAACGTTAGTTGCTTCTGAATGATCTTTTTCCCTTTGGACATGCTTTCACACTAGCAGGCACAAAAAAAAAAAACAAACAAGTAGAGCAAATCACAAAGTGAATAATCGGAATACCTGCTGTTACAATGTGAAACAGTTCTTCCATAGCTCAGTTTTGTTCTTGCCCTCACTACTTTGTCAGAGCAAAGCGAAAGACTTTCCCATACATCATGGTGGTTCTGGTCAAGAATTGCAGTACTTGGCAACCTGTTTTGAATCCTGAAGACAGATGTCAGCCCCCTTCACTCATATGCTCACGCTCTTTTGATTGTGTTTTGTTCAAGTGCTATCACACAGCGACATATAAACATGTGGCTTAGGCAAATGGTTTGATTACTTTTCAATGTATTGTACGTTATGCTGTTCTGTAGCTGCTTAGAATATATGTGTTGCCATCAAAATTTCGGTAAGGAGCTTCATGATAGAAAAGCTTCATGTTGTACCTGACTGGAAAAATGTAAATGTCATCAGTGTTTATACACCACA